TTACTACACAATTTACAATCAGACATGTTTCTCAAATCTGACTTCTCATAAAGCACATTGTGGCATGAAATTCAAGGTTACATTTTCAGAGTCTGACACTATTCTTGTTATCCTCAGCAGGGTCTCACACTAAGTCCCACTTCATTCTCTTAGCAGGTGCCACCGTAAAAATATTTAACATCCCCTCCCTTTTCAGCATTTATTGTCTGATGGGATTGGCGTGCTGATCTCCTCAAACTAAGTCTAAATATACTTCCTTAATAGCCATAGACTGATTTTTTTTCCAACTGGTTTTAAGATAGTTGCTCTTCTGTATCTTTTTCCTTTAAAGGAAGAAAGTCACTCTTTCATAACATCAAGTTTTCCTGGTTTGTCTGTGAATATTCATTTAATTAGACTATCTTCTGTGCAAGGATGTTATACCTAGATTATCCTCTACACGGTCACCTAAAGGTCTGCTGCCCTGGCTGTGGGAAATACACACAGCGTTGGGCCTCTTCCATCTCAAACTGAAGAAAAGTATCGTAACTTTAACTGAACCAAGCATTGACATTGAATATGCAAACCACAAGGCTATCCTACTCATGCTGCAAGAATCTGATTATTTTATAGAAACTGGTACAAGCTAAACCTCAGATACACACTTCAGAAGATGCAGCAGCTGCTCAAAGCTGGAAAGTTCAAAATTTAGCAGACAAAAATTACATTTTAGGCCTCCTTCATTCCTCTCACCTGAACAGCTCCATCGCCTTCCTGTAAATGCTCCAGGTGCTCCAGTGAATGTCTAAAAAAAAAAAAAAAAAAAGATTGTACTTAACATTTTAGTAGAGCTTTAATGCCAGATGATGTGTTAGTGTTCAGGATTAAATGATAATAACCAGTGACAGAAACTTACAGGCCTTCAGGAATTTCATGATTGAGAAAGAATGACATCTAGGATTAATGGCACTTTGATCTAAGTTCTGAGGATCTAAATGTTAAAGGCCAAGCATTTTCCTGCGGCTTTATACAGGCAGCCTTTTGGGGCAGGGGGGTGGAACTAGCCCCCAAAGTGTTCTGCAAGGGAGAATATGACATGATGCAGAACGCATCTGACATTATCTAATCAATTTAGCAGCACAGAATATATAACAGAATAAACTTCTGATAAAAAGGCAAAAAAAGTTTGAACATAAAAGGATGCAATGTTTCTAAACTCAGTATCAGGTAACATATCATTATCCATTGCTTGAGCTCTCTAATCTTTTTTAGTTGCAAGTCTGTAGCAAGTGCTTGATTCAAATTGCTCCAGACAGGAGCTTATTACTACTACTTATCCATTAATGGAACTAAAAACATCATGCAATACACAAGTCTTTAGAGCAAGGTACCAAAAACAAGATAAGTAGGATTAAAGCATGCCTTTTTGTGCTATGAAAGCATTCCCCAGAATTATTTTCCAACTTGACTTGAAAGATTATTATAAAGATCGAAAATAACATAGGGAAAAAAAATAAATGTTCAGACAGTGACACTGTAAAACCTTATTCCTATTTCAGGGATGTGAAGTAATTTGTAAGAGAATACAACATAAAGTATTTTCCGTATCTAATAGTTTATTCATGCTGTAGGACAGATCCAGTTGTACCAAATCAGTGGAAAAATTTAACACAGTAGCTGCAGAGATAATTCAAACAGTAACTGTAATTTAAAAAAAAAAAAAAAAAAAAAACAAACAAACACACAACAACCAGGAAAGTGCTTCCTATGAAAACAGCAACAGTGTCATAGAAGGCAATTATAAATGGAAAATAATCACAAGTGTCTTTACAACAGAATAAAGGGCAGCAATTAACACTTCCCAAAGGTTAAAACCTATAAGCAAGATTTTGTGCTTTAAAAATCAAAGAATTATAAATAAAAGCACTGAGTAGGAAACTTGTCAGATAAAAGTTTAAACAGAAGCAGCCTGACCTGCAGTGCCCACACCCAGCTAGCAGCAGTATCTGTTCTCAGAACTGGTCTACATACAAACCAGGACTCGTTTTACCAAACATATAAACTTTAAAGCCAAACCAAAGACTGTGTGGGCATTTCAGTGGGCTCACATGGCAACTGACAGCAATAGAAGTTATAATGATTTAGCAGAGCTGAAATAATATGTGCATACTCTTAGCCCATGGCAAGCATGAGGGATAGAAAGAGTCTGTATAGAAAAAGGCTTAGCTTAAGCCAAGTTACATTGCCTTTCCCATGAACAAAGATCACACAGTGACTTACCTAACACATGGTAACCTGCCAACCACTGAGACTTGAAGGCTGAGTCCACCAACAGCTGACTAACTTCACGCAGTTTTTGTTCTTTCAGTTAAACAAGCAGGTTTAAGCTACAATTACTGATGCCAGTCAAACCAAAACAAGCGTGCACAAAGGTCTTAACTCAACTGAATTAGCTTCAAATCAGTCTTAACCTAAAATAGGGCTATAGCTAATTCAGTTTTTAACGTGATCAAAGCAAATTGTATTAAGAATTCCTCTTTGGCTGGAATAGATGGCTACACCAGCTAGCTCAAATAAGCCCCATACCTAGTCAAACCTGTCCAAACACCTCTGTATTGTAGAGCAGGTGCACATAAGGAGGGTCAGTACAAGTGGCCATCTCACCAGTTATTGCATCCTCTTCAGATGAAAAACCCTGTATTGGAATTCCTGATATGATGTTGTTGAGGGTTTGGGTGGTAAAAATACACAGCTCGGTATCAGCAGAAATGTAGAAGGGAGAGTGCCTTTAAGGAAAAGAGGGAAACAGCACCAAGACAGGACAAGCAAAGCACCTGGCTTACAAGCCATCCCATCAGGCACCAAGCTACAGCAAGCTGGTTACTCCTGGTACAAGCTTCTGCTCCAAAACAGTTCACATGCAAAGACAAAAAGCATAGGCTGGAGCAGCTGTACTCTAGCTAAAACTAGCTGCTGAATGACTGTAGGCTCCAGGAGGCTCCAGGAATGAGGGGCCTGACACCAGGCATTTTGTTCAGTGCTAGCACAAGAGGAAGTCAGACTTTAGAGGAAAAAGAGAGACAATAAGCCCATACAACAGAGAGTATTAATTGTAATTTCTGCTAGTATAATCATTGGTGTGCAGTTCAGGCCATGCCTGATAAGAATAAATCAATACTACTTTCCTTTGGTGCTTTGTGAATAAATCATTCTAGAAAATACTCTGACCTTGCATCATCAATTTCTGTTTTATGGGAAGTGAGATGTTGTCCTTTGGCAATGGCAAAAGTATGTGAGGTTGTAGAACATGTAAAGAGAAAAAGAGCAAGCCAGAATAACGATGGATAGCACACTGACAACCTGTCCTAACTTGATTAACTTGAAATAAGATAGCCCCAACACATAAAAAAGAATGTTTTTTCTCAGATTTTGGGATGTTCAGATCACAGAATTATAGAATGGTTTAGGCTGGAAGGGACCTTAATGATTGTCCAAGTTCCAACTCCCCTGCCATGGGCAGGGACACCTTCCACTAGACCAGGTTGCTCAAAGCCCCGTCCAGCCTGGCCTTGAACCCTGCCAGGGAGGGGGCAGCCACAGCTTCTCCGGTCAACCTGTGCCAGTTGTATCTCATCTCATTAGTATCTCATCTAAATCTACCCTCTTTCAGTTTAAAGATAGTACCTACCCCTTGTCCTATCACTACAACCCCTGATAGAGTCCCTCCCCACCTTTCCTGTAGCCCGTTTTAAGTACTGGAAGGCCACTATAAGGTCTCCCCGGAGCCTTCTCTTCTCCAGGCTGAACAACCCCAACTCTCTCAGCCTGTCGTCACAAGGGAGGTGCTAGATCTGTGTCTTCAGTTTAGGTTCAGAACATAAAAGTTCTCCAAGGTCCAAATTAGCAAACTATTTCTTCCCATAACAGCCGATTTAGGCATATGAACCATCTAATAGATATCTTCTATAGCATTTCACTGGGTCAGGCAATGACACAAATACATAAAAAGCTTGCAATATACAGAGATGTAGCAAAATGAAAACACTTGACTAATTCTAGTCAAACTCGGAGGAATTTACCATAGTAAAATTCAGGTGCAACACACTGCATATAATAAAGTGCCAATCCCAGCAATATGTCTGAGTTCCACAAAAATGTCGCCTCAGTGCTCAGTAGCTGTCACAGAGCCAGCTGAGTGGGAACAGAAGTTATTAGAACAGAATAAATCTGTGGTTCCCCACACCTTGAGAACTCTGAATTTGTAATTCCCACACCTCATCTAAGAAGGATGTTGAAATGGAAAAAAACACCACAAGGACAATTGATGAGCATGAAAGCACGTCAGTATGGGTAACATTTAAAAAGATGAGGATTCTTCAGACTGCATATTAAAACGGAAGGAGCAGTACAGGGCCTGTATTATAGTGACAATAGGACATGATGCTACCAACTGTTCTAATGCAAGAACTAGAAAGCATCAAATACTGCTAGTAAGAACCAGGTTCAAGTCAAACAAAAGCAGGCGCTTCTTCATGCAGGCAAGGCTAGTCTGTGAAACTCCTGACTAAAGGATGCTGGAGATGCCAGCAGTTTACTGGAGTTCAGAAAACAACTGGACAAATTCATGGAATAGATGTCCATCAGTAGCTGCCAAATAAAAAAAAAAAAAAAAAAAAAAAAAAAACAAGCCCAAGCAACAACAATAAAAAAACACTCAAAAAAAAAAAAAAAAAAAAAACAAAAAAACAAAAAAACAGTACCCTGATTCAGGAGTCTCCAAGTCATAAAATTTCTCAGGAAAATATTCTGGGAGAACACCACTATCTGTTTAAGAACTGCTTAATTCCTCCCCAGATTTTTCCCCAGCTGTACTGAATCCATTCCTGTCTAGGCATCTTTCTTTTTATCTAATAAAACCCTTCTAAACATGAGCATAATTTTCAATGCAATTGCCCATACATTAATTTCATAATGCTTCACTCACTTCCCCTCTCCCTTGCCTCCCCTCTCTCTCTTTTCAGATTAAAGAAAATCCAGATGGGGTGCAGGTGCTGCAAAATGATACAAAGGTACCACAGAACAAGGGTTTCTTAGACTGAATAAAAGAAATGTGTTAAAACATGTGTCTGTGTTCCCCTACACCTGCTGCTTAGATTAAGCCTTAATCCAAGGTTGGAGTTTTCCCAAAGTTTACAATACCTTTAAAGTCATGCCAGAGCATAGGCATACTGATTTCCTGTGAATGTCTTTTTGATTTACTGTAACTGAGGTCCATTTCTATAATTCATATCCCACAGAAAAATTGTATGTCACTGGAAACTCATCTTTAGCAAAGTTTTTTCTCATTTAGGTAGCATGAGCTTCCCTCAGTTCAGTAGAACAAGGAGCACTGACTTTGTCAGATCCTCCCTCTCTCCTAAGCAGTGAAAATGAACTACAGATCCTTGCTTCCATCATAGCTTTTAAATGTAATTAGCTGTGGGAACAAATCCCACATTAAAAGTCTCCCTGGAGAAGAAGACTAGCTAGTTTTAGAAAGACAACACTTCAGCCCCACTTGGCAGTTACTCCTGCCCTTGGCCACATCTCTAGAAAAGGTAAGGAAGTGGGAAAGAAACCTGGTGCTATAAGAGAAAGAGGGGAGATAAAGAGACAGGCTCTGGAATAAATAAGTCAAGAAAAACATGGAGAGGAAAAATTAAGTAAGAAGGGAAAAAGGAAGGGATGAAAATACATTTTCAAATGGCAGAAAGATAAAAGTTCAAAAGAAGAACACCAGGAAAAAAAGGGGAGATATTTTAGCAACTACATGAGGACATATTAATTAACAATCTATGTGATGACTACTCCTTGACTAGTCAACCCCCCAGAGAAAATAAAAAATAAAGCTGGAAACATGCAACAACCAGCACAAGGTTCTCTGATATTCTTCTTACTCTCCTGGTAAATCTCACTACAAGGGTTACAGTCAGTCCCAGTAGACAGCAGCCTACAGCACAGGTTCAGCATTTCCATTCAGTTTAGCTCATTCTCAGGACCCCAGGTAAATTTTAGTGACACCAGCTCCACCTTAAAAATTAAGCTTAATCCTTTTTCTAATTATATTGATTAACAGCATAATTAACATTTCTTCTACAAATTTTCCATACTCCAGCTATATTTTTGATCCAGAAGAAGTACAATCGCCTGGATGCATTCATGAAGTAAACAGCTACAAACACAATGAGCAAGGCAGCAATAAAACCAAATTCAAAGAGAATAGTGAAATTCACGAACACAAAAATGAACTCCAGAAGGATGAGCTAGACGGAACAGAAAATAAAAATCAGGTAAATAGCACAAAAGAAGCTCTCTGGAACCACAGAGGCAATGATTTTCAAGAGGCTGGCCTTGCAAAATACGTTGCAAAGCTTGACGTTGCAGTCAATGGTGGCAACTCCTGTGCTGGAGTGCATTCCATGCTCAATCCCAACACGAACCCAGTGAAAGAAGCCAGTGAACAGGGAACCTCCAGCCAGTCAGAGGCTTCTTCAGCCGGTAATAAAGACTTTTACACCAAAACAAATAGGTCTGGCCAAGAACTTGACCTAGAAGCAGGAAGGCAGAGGAACACAGCCTGCAATAAGCCACACAGTATTCAAGATGAGAACTCCCAGCCTGCAGAAGACAGCATCTTTCTCAAAGGAAATGCAATACTGGAGACACAAAACACTGTCATACAACTGCCAGATATTGATTATCCCCAAAATGGCAATCAAATCAGGAACTATATTGAAAAAGATAGCTTTTCATTCAGTTGTGCACACTCAGACCAAAACACTGGGCCTTCCACAATAGAGGACCAGGAACTTTCTGTAACCCCACCTTCATCTATGAAGGAAAGCAGTATTGAACCTTTTAAAAGTGACTCCACCAGTTCAAGTGAGGACATTTCTGGTGGTATCACTGCCATGGCTGTTACCAAAGCAGCACAGGCGCCCACACACCCCAACCATACAGACATCAATGGAGAAACTGAGGAGGAAGATGCAGAAGTTGCAGCAGCTCTGGCTGCACTGGAAGCTGCAACTGCAGGGGAAGACGTGGAAGATGACGACGAGTACTAGATAAAAGATTCTTTCTAATACACTGGGTAAGATCCAGATTTTATTTCTGGATCTGTATGAACACATGTACAGCACATGTGGACAGCTGTTATCAACAGCATATACAAAAGAAGTTGAGACGAAACCTCTGTCCCTTCAGCTGTTTTCTACAGCCTTTTAATTTCTACTGCCTGAGGTATAGAAGTGCTCCCTTGGCTAATGGTAATACTAACACTCTTCTCTATGGGGCCAGCCAGGAGTGCAAAGCATCACTTCTTCCACACAGGGTATTCTGCTGTATGCCCACCTCAGCTGGATTCATGCAAACGTTTCCTTTGGTTTTGACCCTCAAGAGGGTCTGGCACATACTGCGTGTTCCAGGTTCAGGAAATTTCCATTATTTAAACAGAACTATAGAAGCCATGGTGTTATAAACCATAGATTTTCATCATGTTAGGACAAAAAAAATAATGCTGACCCAAAGTTCTATGATCTAAAGAAGTATGAGACTGGGAAGGCAGATTGACTTGCAGTTCACTGCAGTTTTGGTTCCATTCTGGATTAAGCCTAAATCTGCATGTGCAGCTGGTGTTAGAACGATAACCTCATCTCTTCCCTTACACCTCCCCTGGACTTAGTTTGATACCCCAAGTGACCTGCTTCAGTTCACTGAAACAGCAGAAGCCTAGCCAAATCCAAGAGGGTGGGTAACTTTCTGTTGGTTTAATGAGCTGAAGTAGCTCATGCAAGAATTACACACACAGGATCAGAGGTGCTGGAGAGGGATCAAAATTCAGCCCTACCAGCTTGGATAGATTAAAACTGTTGTAAAACTACAGCCCGAGACCTCTCAACTACTAAATTTTACAGGCACACATCCCTTGCCTTAACAATACAGTTTGCAAACAGGTTAGGTCTCAAACATTCCCAGCAAGATGTGTTTTGTTTATATACAAACAGAGCAGTGTGGACCCCTCCCTGGCTCTGCTGCAGTCCTTAAACTTACAGCAGGAAAAGGATCAAGCTTCCAAGTTGAATTAAGCATAAAAACTGAAAATATCAGCTGAATTCCTGGAGCATTTACCCTTCCTCTGATCTTCAGACTAGTATGTTAGCCTTTCTTGTGGGAAAAAAAAAAAAAGGAGGTAGACCAACTTGGTGCTGCCAATTTATCAAAAGTTGGATTTTAATGGTTTAAATAGAAAGTGCTTGACATTTTATACTGAAATTTTGTGGTTTCTGAGTTTTTGTTATAAAATCTAAATAAATTTTTTTAATCATATAAAAAAATCATGTGGTGGCTTTTGTGCTTATATAACAGTCAAATAAAAGAAGTATTACAAGATATATCCTTCATTAGATACATGAAAAGCACCAGCTGTGTACTTGCCAACAGTATGTGCTGAATCCTAACCATGAACATAACCTGAGGATCAGAATATTAGGAGGTGGGGTTTAAATAATACATAGATATTTAAATCATTTCTGTTTAAGTGCAGATTCCCTCTTTTCCTCCAAATATTGCAAGACCAAATCAAGATTTCAATTTCTCAAAACATTAATGACACCCTAGGAGCAATTAAGAACAAAAGTAAAGTCTCAGCTTCAAGAGAACTATATTCAGCTAGAGATGAAAGTCACCACATTATATCTGTAAAATAAAAAAGCTTTATATGTTTTTAAAGTATTGTAGTACTGCTGATTATGATGCTCCTACTTTAATAGGTACTTCTAAGCATTTTCAGAAGTTCATACAAGTTTTATGTACACATTTGTGTATCAAAGATTAATATAATACTGAACGACAGTGAAAGACTACTTGCACATTGCATGTTACTAGTTACGGTTATGACAGCACATAGCATATGTCTGCTTTTATATCGTTAAGGCCCTGAGGGCATCACCAGGCCTGTCCCTGCCCACCCCCCAGGGCTCACCCTGTCCCGGTGAGCGGGCACCGGACCCTGCCCCGGCTCCCCACAGCCCTGCCCAGCCTGGCCATGGGCCCCCCCAGCCGGGGGGCTGACAGCCCGGCCCAGCCCCACCTGAGATCGCTGATGCCTGGGGCTGGGGTTGCCCCGGTGCCCCCCAGCCTGCCCCCGCTCCCTGCCTGGGGCAGCGGGACAGGCCCAGCTGTGATGTCCAGCCCTACCGTCCCCAGGGGAGCCTTCAATGCTCCCCACATCCCAGCCCCAGGGAGCTGCCAGCCCCTGCTGCACCATGTCATGAACCATCAAAGTGAGTAAAAAAATGTTAAAGAAAGAAACACAACAAACACCTTAGGAAACTCATCCAATTTTTCAATATCCACTTGATTAGAATTTTCTAACCTGAATTCCAACATGAAATTCAAGTGCAAATCATGGCAAGTTCTCATCTTGCTCCCCAAGAATTAAAATACACTAGAGGAGAGCACCTGGTCAAGCCCAACCGGTGCCCTGGACACTCCAAACCTAGAGTCTCTTCTGTGGGCATTGCAGTTTTTGTGGCCCAAGTTTTCACTGTCATATATGTAAGGAAGGCAAAAAACAGTGTAGAGCAAGTATATTCTCTGCTCAAATAACTAGTCAATGCTTCTCTTAAGCAGAGGAGCGGGGAAAAAAAAAAAAAAATGTCAGGCATATGCATACCTGAAATCTGCAGGATATGGAAAGCTTCCATTAAATAAACCTATGAGTTATCACAGACATTCAGATTTTTCTTATCTGCTCTCTAAAAGTGCCCTGTGCAAGTTTGTTGTTTTTTTTTTTTAAGTATATATAAATGTTTTTTATATTTATGTATGTGTTTATTTCCCTTCAGCTCTACCATGTCACAGCTGAGAGTCAGGAATTCTTAGCCATTTCTCACACTGCAGTACACTTTACACAACAAATGTGAAAGAAAATAAATTATTTCAGAAATAATTTTTAAATACTGCACACAATTTCTTCCATAAAAATCAGCTTTTAAAAAATTATGTGAGAACCAAATCTTACTCAGTTCCCTCAGATGTTGATGCAATGAAACATACACACTGCCAGCTTGAACAATCAATTTTGCTCAGACAGTTGTGAGAGTAAAATTTAGTATCTTGAGAAAACAAAGTCGTAGGAGAAAAAGTTACTGGAACCAAGAGTAAACTGTATTTTAAGACTTCTCTCCAAAACTACACAGCTTTTAAGACACCTCTTCCTCTACTCCAACCACCGTAACTTCAGATACCAATTAATTACATTTCCTATATTCAAAAGGTTCACTTATGAAGTAGAGCTTAAATGTTTCAGTTTTCCTTTGACACAGGAGGAATTAATGAGGGAGCTGGTTGGCCAATATCTATTTTTAATGTTTCTATATTTGATTTAATTCTGTATGGGTGTGTGAGAAGATGTGTAGCAATAAAGAACAGGCAACAGGATGGGAAACTATTATAAGAGCTAGTATTTCCATGAAAGATTTTAATTCTTGGAAGCTCACATTTTACTCCAAAGTGTATTCTCCAAAGCTAGTAACACAACCTAAGGGGAAACTGTAATCCTTCCATATATAAGCAAAGAGACATTGAATAAGTGTACGCTTAGCACCTTCTCATTTAGCAGTGGGTCACCACTGGATTCTGAAAAAAATTTCAGATCACTGTAGAGATTCCAGATATGACAACAGGAGTGGAAGATGGCCAAGTCCAGACAACTCAAGGAAGTTAATTATTTCCCAGAAAAAAACATTATGGGGGAAGTTGGTTTACAGAGCAACAGAACCACCTGAAATTTGATACTGTAGAGTTGATAATGCAGAATTCTTCAGTTCAGCAGACAAAACCCTAACAAGAAAGCAGGAACCTGGAAATAGATAAATTCCAGAGAGGGTTTTTTTTTTTCTTTTAAAGAACAATCGGCTGAGCAAGTGTTGCTATGGAGACTTAGCATTAAAAATTAAAATCCAGAAATAGAAAGTCTATTATTTTCTAAAAGGTAGTTCAGATTTTATTTCTTTAAAGCAATCTAAAAATACCATTTTTTTAATCATTTAAGCCATGAAACAAGAAACACTGACTTAAAAATAAAAAAATCTTGACCTTACGCTGTATTTGTAGTTTCAATTTCCTAAATGTGATTTATTTTTCCAAAAGATTAATTCTTGCCAATGTATCATATTTTGATAAATGAGAATAAAATAATCTCAACATTTATTAAGGCCAGTGTATATGGTACTTCATACATTTATTCAAATGCCTATATTACCAAAACAATGAATTTTAGTAACTATTTATCTTGAATTGTTATATCTACCCTTGGATTCCAATTTCCATTTGCATACATCTAAACTGTGCAAGAGCATCACTTCAAAATTAAATGTATTAAAACTTAACATGCTGAATACACAAGAAAGTAAATATATCAAAGTCATTCTAATTTTAAAGGAAGTTTTATCAACAGAATTGTTTCAGTCACTGTGTCCTTCCTGATTTTAAAACAGCTATATCATACAAAGTTTAAGAGTAATTGTTAGAAGCAGATTAAGACTTTCCCATTGGTCTTTCCAATAGAAACTGCCCTGGGCAAAGACAATTATTTTTCTTACCATCACGAAGTCAGAACAGATACTCCTAAACTCCTTCCCTGGCCAGACCTTCCAAATGTCATGCATTCACATACATAGCTAGAGACCTCAGTCTCGAGATTCCCCTCTCCATCAGTGATTTCAGTTGACATCTCAGGGAGGTTTGTTTTTCAACTTTCCATTTTTTAAGTCATTTATATAAATAATTTCTAAATCATTTTCTAAACTTCAGATCAGGTAATCCTTGAATTGAATCAGCTGGATAAACAGAAAACAGGAAATACTGCCTGCACCTACAAATGATACTACTGCTGACTGACCACTTCTGCAAACTCCATCCCACCTGCTTTGGGACTTTTTCCATTTCAAACAATGAGCTGTTAAAATTTTAGAAGAGGCTAAATGTGCAATCTGGATTCTATAAGAAAATGAAATAGATTATAGCAATTTTATGCCTTAACAAAAGCAGTCAGTACTTTTTAAAATTTGTATTGCTAAATATAATTTTAACTTTGTTAACATGGGTTAATCCAATTTCACAATGTAACTTTATTGAACAGACCTACTCCCCCACTCCCCATCTCCTCCTCCTTTAGTCAGGGAAAACAAGTATTCCCTTGTACAATTTAATTCATAGAACAGAATTCTCTCAATGAAGCGGAAAAGCCAATGACTGTCTTGATTTTGTTTTTAATCCAGTTGTTGAAGTACAGATCCCAAGCAGTCATCTCACAACCATCATGAACAAAACTATAGCAGTTACACTATTCCCTGCTCTGAACCTTGACGGAAATTATTATAAACAGGTTTTTGCTGCACTTCATAATTCAATTACTGTACATTACCAACTGAAAAACATTTTATTCTGTGACAAAACAGAAAAAAACCAAGTCTTTCAGGAAATACAGCATCCCAATATTATGTCAGGTTGCAGATTACTTAAATACTGAACCAACTCCACAATAAAACCATGTCACGTGAAGGGTGCTGTTTAAATTGTTTGCTCATTGAGCTCCCTTCTATTTACTCTGAGCTAGATTAGCTTGATTTTTATGAGGGCGCAGCAGCAGAAAGGAGCAAGGCAACACCCTCAACTACTCACCTTAATCTCAAACATGGCCAGATTTTCAGTAACCTGTGATTGCACACACTATCCCCTGCTCTTCACAGTCAGAGCTGTACCAAGTGATAGCAAGTAATTTACCTAAATTTACAAAAATGAAAAGAAGGTAAGTGACAAGGGGAAGATGATTACATAGCAAAATTAATGTATGAATGAGATTAAAATACTTTAAGTATCTGAGGACAAACTGTAGGGATCTGGCCAAGAATGAATAACCTAGGTCATTTCCATCTCATGTCTAAAGGTTGGTACATTATAAAGCTGTACTTGCCTTTAGTTCTCATTTGAGAACCTCTTCCAGAACAAAGATGTTACCCAATTAATTTAGGGACATTCCTCAGATTATTTTTCCACACAATTTGCAGAAAAAAAAAAAAAAAGATCCATGCAAATTTCTGTATTTCCAATACAAGATGTGTTATATGAAGACTGTGCTATGGCCAAAGGTGGTGTAAATTTCTCCAGAATCCACCTCCAGAACTGAGGATATATTACAGATTTTTAAACCCACAACTTTCAGTTTGGTAGATAAAAGCGACACAGGGGTTAATCTAACAAGTATACCATGTACTTTGCCAGAACAATGCCGCTGATTTTGGTTAATTTTTAATCATTAATTTCCTGTTTATGCAGACTTGCATGGGAAACTCAGCCAGTTAGCATCTGCAAAAAAGAACCGTACTAAAGACCTAACATTAATCGAAATCAAGACAAATTATCAAAAGCTCTACGAAGTAATACACACCCTCCACCCTGACTGGGAATGACTTTTCCAGAGTCATGCACTAGGGCTAATTACGTGCCCGACGCACACCGCTATTGTTTTGACATACGCCACACAGATCCTGTTCTTCCTCATCGCTTTGATTAAAAGTTTGGCTTAGGGAAAAGTTTATGTTGTTCCATTTAACCATCGAAAGCAGAATACACGGAGCCGCCGGTCCGGCGTGTGGCCGAGCGATCTGGCGTGGGGCCGGAGCGAGGCCGAGCGGCCTGGGCGTGGGGCCGGGGCCGGAGCCGGGCCCGCCCGAGCCCAGCGGCCTGCGGCCCGGCTGCCGCCCTCCGCGCCTGCCTCGCCCTGCCCGGCCTGTCCCTGGGGAGGAGAAGGCTAGTCCAGAGAAACAAGGAGCCAGTCCAGATCTCTGATTAAATAAGGGCACTTTTAATTTTTATATATATATGTATAGTTTTTAAACGCTGACACACTCCTGAAAGTTTTTTGAATTACCAATAAAAGCTTCAATAGCTCCCTCTGCTGACAGCAAATGTGTATTTCAACTGCTTTGTGCAAAACCTGGTCGCAGCTGACGGAAAAGGTCACGTACCTGTTTCTCTCTAAGCATATACGTGTATGTGTATGCACACACAGTTATGTAAAGTCCTTGAAAACTAAGATTTGGATAATACTATGGGTGGTTTAATTTAATACTCTCCTAAGACCGCTTTTAAAAGATAATTATTTTGACTGTAAATCAAAATAGTGAAAACAAATAGTTAAATAATATTTTTGTATGTTAATTTTAAATACTACCTTACTCAAGGGAAAAATCACACCACATCACCTAGTTATCTACTTGGATATACAGTGACAACCATGGAGCAACTGCTAATTTTTTAGGACAGTTAAGAGACAAGAACTTTCAAACTGCTGTTGCCCATATTTCTGCTCTTCAATCCTCCTTCCATCTTCCCAAGATTTTCATACTTCCATTGCTGCCCCCTCTCCGTCCATGTCCCTCTGCCAGTGCCAGCAGGTATCAGCTAGTTTTGTTAGTTGTTTTGCTGCTGGTTTTGCAACAGCAAAACAGCTGTTTTGCTGTATGCAAACAGCAATGAAAACTTTACTGAAGCAAATGCTCTCTATTCCCCACGACCACCATTTCAAGGCCATCCACACAACAGTGCAGTACAAGCACGAACACCTCTCGTCCACCACTGTTACACCCTTGGCACCTCTGCAGCCCAAAAGAAACGAGACCAAAATGACTACCTGAAAATAGGCCAGGAAATGACAGCTAACAAGGGAAGTGGGGGGAGGCGTGGAACCAAAGGGTTTGCACATATAAAACTGAAGGGTTACACTGACAGAAAAATAAATTTGCCAATATATTCTGCTTTGTATAAGACAGCTTCACTGCAGCTAAACTTGATGCCATTGCATCTCTACAGCACTAGGGGCTGGCCATATAAGATTTAAGAAGAAGTGTTTCAGTTAAGCTACAGCAGGCCTAGTCTGCAAAGACTTTACACAGACCAAGACAAAGCAAGTCTGGCTGCATGTCCTAAAGCAGATGGCCAAGCACTACCCACTTAACAGGGTCTGGACTAAGTCCCATCCACGTCGCAGGTGATTTGCTATCTCTTCTTACCTAAACTTAAGCAAAATATACCACCAACCTACTCATCGTACCTGATCAGAGATAATTTAACAGCACAGACAGCTTTCAGACCTTGCCAATACGTCTCTTCACAGGCTTCCGCCATCTTCACACTTCCAGCACTACAGGCCTGGTATCTCTCTCTCACCTTCTTTTCTCTGAGAGTTACAGCCTCCTACTTTCCAAAACTGCTCAGCTTCTCTTTTCCTCATCTTGCACTAGCCTTACGTATCCTTTCATTCGTTTTGCCTCAGCAGATGATGTTAACCTGCCAGGAAGGCAGCTCCAAGGCTGACTGGGTGCCTTGCAGCTCTGAGCAGTGGTAGTTCAAAAATCAGCAAGTTCTTCCATAGGTGGTAGAGAGAGAAGAAACGGTGCATCCACAACAAGAGTTACAATCAAATTATGGCAAGAGTAAACAGAGCAGCAGCACCTTATAGCACATCATAAAAAAATCAACAAGGACACTGAGAACAAGAGGAGAGAAATGTAAATTGCATCCAGCGCCTGTCAGTACTTTCAGCCTAACGGCAAACTTCCTTCAAGATCCCAAAATATAGGACTTGACAAAACAAAAAAATTTTAAATCTAAATCCATCTTTATCTGGCCAAGTCTTATATGGTTTTGTTAATATTAGATAGCCAAGGCTTAGACACTGTTTTCTTGTTTATTCATTAGCAGTAGTACTACACACTTGACATAAAAAGGAAAGAACAGGCCTGAACTGCACAGAAACCCTAGTTTAATAGATACAAATGGATTTGCACTTCAGACTACATCTGGGGCACAGGTGGGAATACTCAACAGCCAGGAACTTAATTTCTTAGGAGAGACAGTCTGAGGTTTCAAACCACTAGGCCCGTTCAGCATTAACAAACCAGAATGTCCTCCTCTTATCAAGAGATGAATAATCTCATAAAAAGATACTTCTTAACCCACATCATTTTGTATTAGTACATAGTAAGTACAAGCTTGATTCATTTGTAGGAAAAAAAACCCAACCAACCAACCCACCCACAAATTTACCTGACACACTTTTCTCCTGTCTTTTCCTATAATAATTTTAGTGCCCATCTCCCAGCCTCTGGGTCTTTTCAGTTCATCTCTGCTGTCCATCGCCACAGGCAGACACATCTCTCCAGCAGGCTCAAGAGAGCCCCCAGCTCCAAGCTGTACACACACACTTCAGGAATACTGGAGCCTGGGTTCATTTCTACAGAAAGTGCATAGATGCAACATCTATCCACAGACTTGGAAGTACACAGAAAAACACTTGTGCTTTAGCTTTTTTTTTTTTTGTTAACAAGACCAGATGGCTTAAATAACACTGTCTTTCCGTAGGTGACACACAAAACGCTCTTGAGTCCAGCAATCATGTAAGGTACCAATTTTGTCAAGATTTCTGTACTGGTGAAAAAAAGGGAGACTGTTCAGAAAGAAAATGGCAATGAGCTACCAAGTACACTATAGAATGTTTTTCAACTGAAGTTTTCTACAGTGAGATTCAGAAATAAGAGAAAATAAATCCTTTAATCCTTACTGTGTTTCAAAAATACATTGCACATGCTGTGCTCTTTACAAGTAAAATCAGATTTTATTAAAGATAGAAGTAGCTCTCATCTGTTTTGCTACAGCAGCATGAGGTAGGATCCTGAATTTTGGTATAATGCTCTACTAAAAACATTCTTCCCCAATACAGACACTTTATAACAGAAATATTATCCATGTTTAAAAAAATTTTATGCAAAAAAAATTCTTCTCATTTCTTTTGAGGATTTCTCATGTTAGTCCAGTTATAATACAATTTCTCCAAGTTCAATATAGCAATCCTCTTGTATTTCAATATATGCATATATAATCTAATTAAAACTGTGTATTAGACAAAATTACAATCTTGTCTTTTCCGGCATGAAAGTTTGATGATATGGTTATATTTGCATCCAGTTTTAACTTCAATATAATCTAAAATTGTTACTGAAAGCATTAGAAATTCAAGGAAAAGGGGGCAGGGGGAAAACATGCTAAGGGAACAAGAAGTAGTATAAAGTATTACTTTCAGGTTATTTTGCTATTTAAAAAAAAAAAAAAAAAATCTCTGAAAACGAGAATCAGGAAGTGTGCTCAATTTCCAGAAGCTTCACAATCAGCAGTATCTCAATTATCTTTGAAAATTAAGGCCTGGAGAGATTTTATTTTTATTTCTGAATATAAACCACAGCTGTATATAAACCTCAAATTCAAATACAGACCTCAAAACAGACTTTGTGTCATGCCACTAGGAACATTCAAATAAAGAACAAAAAAAAAACTGCCTACAGGATAGTAAACTGATAATTACATCTCAGCAAGCCACAACAACTTGCTTTGAGCCTCCTTCACACTACTCATACAGAAAAATTAATTTTTAATGCCATTTGCAGATCACAGTCATATGTGAGAATGTAATGTAACAAATTAAGCACTGTAGTATCATGGAGGGACAGAGGCTGAGAAGAAGCAACTGCAAAGAGCTTCCTGTCATTTGCAATTTTTTGTTACATACCTTATGAGAAAAGAATTGAGAATAATGTTGTGTGTATTTTAAAAGCTCAATGTCAAGTATAATAAAAAGTTAAAAGTCTTGATACTTTCAAGGTAAAAGGTCTTTAATCAGATAACATCTTGGATTAAAGCAACGATTTTCTTCTTTCCCATGTAAAATATGGAACTAAAGTAATACTTGCAATCATCCTTTCTCAAGGAAATAAAACTGCTGTGAAGTACATCACACAACCACCTAACCTTCTCATTACCTCCATAAACAAAAACTTAAGATACAAAGAGATTGCATTATACATTAAGACTGTGCAAAGGTGAAATTTTACACAATGGATGCAGGCTTAAGAAAGTCACAATCAAGCTTAAGAACCAGGATTTTTTTTATTTACTGCTTGGTAGTACAAAAGTTGTATATAAACTATTTTGTTAAAAATACATCTGATATGCAAATTTAAGAAAGGCAGACTAATACGGCAATATCCATACCCCTACAAAATAGCAGAGTGTAGTGTAAAATGCAATGAAACAGGCACAGTTTTTAAATCCTCTTATTGCAGCAGCAATGCACAAATTAAATTCTTGCACATATCAGGTCTTATAATACCTTATCTAGGTATTTTATACAGGTAAACAATGTTGTACATATCCAACACATTTACTTTTATTCTACATATTTCCAATGGAATCAAAATAGAAATTGCTTATAAATTAAGTAAAAAAATACTTATTTCTGTTTAAACTTTCTTCCATCCTTTTGGCAAATTTTCTTGCAGTACTAACCCATCATGTATCAAAACACAATGTTATCAAAATAATCCCTCCCCCCCTTTACAAAAAAAAAAAAAAAAAAAAAAGCTTTTGGGACAGTCTCTAACTGTGTATCTCCTTTCTGAAAATTACATGAAACTGGTTTTGCCCAATACTCCCCTTTTCCAGTAACATTTTATATTCGTAGTTCTCAATCTCTTGAAAACTGAAAGCTAATTAACAATAACCAATACTTATTGAATTCTTCCACAAGTATTAGCTTTTCATGCAAATAATCAAGAGAAGCTTGAAGAAGAAAAAATTAAAGAATATTAAATGTATGCCTGTAAGGTGAGCATGGTGTTTATGTTGTACTTAAATATTGAAGAGTTTTCATAAATCAGGTTTAAATTAATGGGAACAGGGATGCTAAACACTCCATCGAGTTCAATCCTAGACAAACAGTTATTTCGGGTTCTCAAGGATGGACAATTACCTCTGAAAATATCCATTTTAAAATTAACAATAAACCATTTATTCTTGTCAGAGCTTTGGTAGGTGGTAAGTTTGGAGTTTGGGTTTTGTTTCTTTGGGGTTTTTTTTTTGTTTTTTGTTTTTTTTTTTTTTTTTCAAATCTAGCATCAGTGAAAAGTATATATTGGTAGATCCACTCAGTATGTTGTGGATAACAAGTAGAAGGAAGACCAGCAGCAGCATATACTTTCAGCAAGAGTAAATAAACTTGTTTCCTGACAAGATATGGGGGTATCTATTACATAAGCAAGAAGATTGATTTTATCTTTGTACACACTGATTGTTAACACTGCATAAACTGATGAAGAAACCTGATTCTCAGATCTGAAGGAGAAACACAGTTTAGAGTACTTGGACTGAAAAGATTGAAAGTAATAATTTAAAACAAATCCATTTAAAAACACACACTGATTTTCATCCAGTTCATAAAGCAGATTAAGGTACTTTATAGTTCTCAGAATATAGTGCGATCTCTACTAAAATGCATTACATTAGAGCTTATATTCTTAGGCACTCAGAAAAAGATATTTTTTAGTTTCTATTACACAGCAAAGTTTGCCAAATATTGCAAAGATTTCCCTTCCAAAAACAAGTAACAGGACAAAGAGATCATGATCAGTAGACACAAATAATTAACATTACAAAACCATCACTGGTATTTTTAGCAGTAAGTCACACTTAAAATATGAAGGGAGTGACACTGGCTTAAGATTTCAGTGACAATGAAAACAGCTACCCTCAGTCCAATAAAGGCACTCTGAAGTACTTTAGTATACACTCCATAAATTTTTAATGCCAAATATTCCATATCCTTATCTAATGGTTGAAATGTGTTGCCTTATGTTAATAAGGAACCTGTGGGTAAAAACAAAAAAAAAAGAAAGGCAAAACTATTAGGCATTCTTCAAACATGAGTAAGCAGTTACAAAAAAATGGGAGAACAAGTGGCCTTGAGGAAAGTAACCTACCCAACTGCATAGAAAAAGACACTACTTAATATAGGCTGAAGAGCAAGGGGGAGGTAAGGGGGCAAACAACAGCTGAATTTAACATTTGCATATAGCTGAACCACTCTGTACTGTGAAGTACCCTTCACAGAGTCTGAGGGCTTATGTACTAAAGGCACACATGCCAATTTTGGCTGACAATTATTTCCTTTTATGTTTTGCTTGGCTACTAGGTGAGATAAAAAGAATATTTCCATCTTCCAAAGGCAGGTTTTTATCTTCACCAAACACTTGTCAATTCTGGACGGGAAGAACAGAGGAGAAAAATCCAGATGGACCAGAGAGGTGAACACAGTTTATCCACAGGGTAATCATATTACTCATAATATTGTGCTCATTAAAAATGCCTAAGTAGAAAAAAAATAAATTATTTGATAAGGCTTTTAACTTTCCTGTCCAAAAAACTTACATGTATTTTTTCTTTCCAAGATGAAGCCCAACATTTGGTATGAGATCCACACAGCTCAACAGTATTTAAGTGTCTAAATCTTACTGATTTTACTGGTGAAAAGCCATTAAGTGTTTAACTTTGCATGGATGCCATCACAGAACTTATAAAATACTACAGTGCCATAAATACATTTCCTTAAATAGTACACATCTCTTGGGAATTTTCAGTTTTTTCCAAAGTGCTAGCAGACAAGCTTCTTCTAAAAGCTCCACCTACAAAAGAAGAAAACACTTTTAAAAATAAGCTTAAATACCAAAATTAGTTTTAGGATGAACACACCAATTAAAGTTAGCAGATGCTCTGAAATGGAAAAAAATGCCACAACTGCATGAAGTGGTTGTCATGCACTGCAAGTTTAGCATGTGAAATCCTAAAGGACAAACTAAGAATTCGGCTGGTACTCATGAAAAGGATGGACAAACTGACAAATCACATCACAGTGCAAAGCACACACAACTTTGAAAAGGATACTAGAAATAGAAAATCTTACATAGCTTCAGTGTACCAGTACCTTAAGTTTTTGTTTACCCAGTAGCTTACAATGGATATGTAAGAGCTCAACTCAGAATTTTTACTTCAGCTACCATCTGTATATCTACTACTTTTTTTGTGTGTCACTAAACATATTTTAAATAAACTTAACTGATGAAATGGAGTCTGGCAAGAACATGGACCTTGGAGACATGAAGACATGCTACAGCTTCAAATGATGCAGCCAGCAACACACTAGGATAAGCTCCAACACAGTAGAGATCACTTCAAGAAAATACTAAGAACATGTCAGGGGGAAAAAAACCCTGAACTCAAGAATAGCAGTGAACACAAGCAACCAGCAATATTATGTCATCCAGGTACCACCCAACTCAGGAATTCCATCTCACACAGGAACATTCAGTAACAGCAGTTAAAGTCAGGGCCACAACACACAAATCTATTGCCTCCAAATGCTGGGAAGAAACCTTTTCTAGCAGCAGTTAAAACATACATTTGTGTGTGCCTTCTTCCTCTGCATCTGAAGATCTGAGCCAAATTCTCCAAAACTATATGCTTTTTATCACTAATTTACTGGCTGGATGCACAGAAGTCTTAAATGCTGCTTATCTGTTCAGTTTCAGTAAATTAAGCTACAATAATTTTTTAGAGGTATGAAATAGGTAATTGAATGGAAGGTCTAACTACTACCTGTTTGTATGTGAACAGCTTTTCAGAGCAGTGGACAAAAACTGATCTAGTACCACGCTAGGAAACAGTATAAGTCTTTCAAGCGAGATCTGTTTATTTTTTGTAGTACACATCAAACACGCCTGGCTAGTTTCCCAGATGATTTACAAAATAGTCCTGTTGGACTGGAGAGACCTTTACAAGAGATTCCATGGAGCCATTTCTCTATTAGAACAGCTGTTTTCAGAAAGGGTAATACTCTAGTCCTAAGGGAGATTCTACAATAAAAAGCTGCCATAGATGGACTTTTTTTATAGCTATACTAACATATCTCTCTAGAGAACAGCTTATTTTTAGATTAAAGTAGTAATGGTTTAAATGTAGAGAACTTTTAGGTAATTACAGGGAATAGCCTTCTTATTTAGGACAAGAAAGAACAAATAAGAAAGAAAACTGGGCTACAAAGCATTTTTAGAGTGATTTCAAAAGATTTTTTTTTTAATCAAAGTGCACTAGAATTAGCTTTATTTTCATATATGCCCTTTTCTATTTCTAATGTTTAAAGAGAAGATAACTAGTCTCCCTTTAAGTCAAAATCATATCTCAAACAGTCTAATCATGCTACCATTAGAGATATGGAAAATAGGAAAAAAAAATACACAGGAGTATCATCACAGAAGTAACAAAAAATTAGCTGGGCATGAAAATGCCAATGCAGCCAGAGAAGTAAGAGGTTATCTCCTATTACATTTAGCTAATAATGATTTTTAAAAAGGGAGGAAAGGAAAGTGAAACCACGCCAATTAAAACAAACAAACAAACAAAAACAAGCCAACCTGAGCACCAGGACATAATTCTGAAACAATAAGAATAAAGTTTGTCTTTCACTGACATCTATAGATTCTTCACAGATTACAAAGTAGCAGTGATTCAGCAGCCACTAAAAAACTATGATTTGCCAGAGTTTGCCACAGAACAAAAAGCAAAAGAAAAAAACCCAAACATCCTTACAGTCTACCACCTACCTCCAAGGGAAGGCCAGCTGTACTTACACTGGCTTTCACAAGCATTTGTCCAGTCTGGTCTTACAAATATCCAGCAATAGGGATACAATAGCTTATTCCAACTTCTTAATTTTTGAAACCTGAACTTCACCTCTTTGCAAATTAGCCTACTAGTTGCCTTCTTACCCACTGCACAAAAAAAAAGTGTCCTGGTTTCAGCTGGGATAGAGTGAATTTTTCTTCTTAGTAGCTAGAATAGTGCTGTGCTTTGGATTCAGAATAGGATTTCATATGAGAAGAATGCCAATAATACACTGGCATTTTCAGTTGTTGCTGAGTGATCAAGAACTCTCCGACTTCCCTCACCCTGCCTGTGTACAGCTGTATGAGAAGCTGGGAGGGAGCACGGCCAGAGCACCGGACCCAAACTGGCCAATGCAATACTCCATATCATGTAACATAATGCTTGGTATATAGAGGAGGGGCGGCCAGGAAGGAGGGAGTTCTCTCTCACTTCTGGGATTGTGATTGCAGGATCCTGGTATTTCAGGATCATTAGCTGGGAACAGGCTGGGTATCGGTCAGCTGGCAGTGAGCAATCGCATTGTGCATTTCCTGTTTGTACTTTCTATTATTGTTATTGTTTTATTTTATTTCAATTATTAAAATGTTTTTATCTCAACCTATTAGTCTACCTTTACCCCTCCAATTTTCTCCCCTGTGCCCCAGGGCAGGGGAGGATAAGAAAGCAGCTGCAGGATGTTTGGCTGCCATCTGGATTTAAACCATGACACCTCCACAGCTTTTTAAACATTTAGAAGCGTACCACATCTCAAAGTCTTTCTTCCTCTATGGCAATGGTTCCAAAAAACGGGCTATAATTTAATGAGGCAGCACAGAATCCAGACAAATACACACTGCTCAGTTCAACAGCTACGCTTGTGTTGTCAGTAAAGGTTGGAAGTATCCCATTGCACACCAGCTCTCTACTTTGCCTCCCTTTCTCAACTGATAGAATTAGAGAATGTTTTCTTAATGAATAAACAACAGATATAAAGAAAAGGCCACATCTCACACCTTGGCCTTTCAGAATTTAACCTGAAGACACTTAAGGGATTTTGGGTGTTGTTACATTTTTAAACATCCTCAACTTCCACTCGTGCATTTCCCTTTTATATGTGAAGTTATTGAGAGTTTGAAACTGGACTGAGTTGACACATGACACTACCCTCTCTCAGCGTACAGAGTCCGGCACTGTGCACTTCGTTCACTTTCTTCAAATCTAGTGCCTTTATTTTGTCACACCAGAGCCCATTTCTTCCTCAAGGGCCAAGCTCTGTATTTTGAATAGCATCTGTGTAAAACCACCTTTCCCCTTCAGATTATCAACCTCTGTCATCAGTTAGAAGCAAACCATATTAACTTACAGGGTTTTTCCCCCGCCCCCACCCTTCTTAACTGTTAAAAAAAAAAAATAGCCAGGAGTGCATTCCAAAACCATGCTGGACACATTTCACATGCCTAATGAGGTACCTCAAGCAATTCACTGAAGTTTAATGGCTCACAAGAAAACCCCAACCTTGTGGCTTAGTAACCTACCATAGATCCCTGAGACGGGAGCATTTTCATGGGTCTCCATTCTTATTAGCCAAAGCTCCACTGATCTCTCAGAGGAGTATCTAGTAAGCAATCACCTTATACAAGCACAGAGTATAGGGCAGCAAGCATAAGGAAGCAGCACTGTAGTTATTCCAGTTATGCAGCTCACAGCAGCGTTTGGTTTTTTTGGGGTAATAAGCACATTACCACTAAATCTGAAGCATTGTCTATTGCTGAAAATTAATGTGCAGGTGTTTTATTTCTTTGACCAGTGATGCCACCTCCACAAAGTAGTTTTATTTCAACATCTACTCTAATTACAAGGTCTAAATAAACAATTAGATAATAGTTTGGTGGATAGTCTAGCCTCTACCAATTTAGCATTGAGTGATCAAATATAATTTTTTCAGGCTTTTAGAGAAATTTTTTAAATTGAAAGATGAGTTCTCACACAGAACTGACACATTTTCAACTTCGTTTCTTTTTACTGATCACCTTCTCTCATTTCACAACTTACCACTTTCAATACGAGTTCCCAAGGTTGGACACCTGCAGTTTACTCTGAGCTCCTCCTCTGCTGCATCTCCTGTTTCACAGGCGTGGCAGGCACTTCACTCACTTCCTGTTTCACAGGTGTGGCAGGCATATCACCATTGACACTCTCCACACCAGTGACAGACATCAGGCTTTTCCTTTCTTTGGAATTTGATTTGTGCTCCACTTTTGTGACTCTAAATCTGAGGTAAGCAAGAGAAAGATTCAGCTGTATGTCCCCAGAGATTAGTTAGATCCTTCTCAGTACCCAGTGTATGGACAGGAATATATTTTCAAGTCCCAAGACCAAGACATCAAAGCAGACACTCACACCACCCAACCTCACTTCAGAGTAATCTTCCTTATTATCTACATGTACTTTTGACACTTGCTATGGCCGAATCACACCTTCTCAGGGAATTGTGTTTTAAAGCCAAATCCACAGATGGCATACTACTTCTTCTTAGAACAGTAATTTCCTAAGACAACTACAACATAAGCTAGGAATTAAAAATAACAAAACAGAATGAGGTGGTTTCTGTAGCTCACATTTGAGAAATACCAAATTCAGAAACAGAGGAATTTACTAGTGTGAAATCCTTGTTTCTTTTTAGCCAGTATCAAGACAGCAAGAGCTTTATACCCACAGTAAATCCCCATCTATTTACATAGTTCTAAAAAAAAAAAAAAAATAAAAAAAAAAATCACATTTAGTTCTTCCAGAAACCACTTCAGTCTTATTTTAACAGGGTTACAAAAAACAATCACTGATGATATAAACAGAGTAGAATCAATGAATATCTGATCTAACACAGGCCACTGTAGTGTCCCTAAGAAAAGTACATAGTAAAATGACCTAAGTTTTACCTTCCCACAGAAAGGACTGTAACTTCTCCAAGACGACTTCTTCTGTGTTCTTTAGATTTGTGAGCTGGCTTTATAAAGTGCCATCGTTTGTGGCTACAACGAGTACAGACATCCTTTTCTACTACTCCTCCAACAGTATGGAAGTGATGGCCTTTGCAGCTGTGTTTAAATGGAACAGCACCAGGTGACAAAGGAGACCCTGGACTCACTGGACTCCCAGGAGAGGTAGGAGACAAAGGGCTGTAGGAAAAATATAGGGGAAATTTAATGTCACTATAAAATCCTGTTTCTTAAAAAGGAAGAAAAGGATAAAAATATAATCTTCGGTTATGTCTACTGAATAGCTAGTTTTTTCAGAGACCATTTATTTGTGAGGATGTCTGGTTTAAGGTTCTTCTGATATAGTATTTTTGCAGTTAAAAATCATTTCCATAAATTAATTTAGTTACAGTTATGTGGCTAAGGTAACTAACACAAAGGGCAAGGAAATGAAAAAAAAAAAACAGGCTGAAATTAAGAGGTTACATGAACTTATACTGATGAAGACATCTAATTAGCATTAAATTCATACTTGGAGAACCAGGGAAAGTACTTCAGAATTGTTACAGTATCTCTACAAACTCACAGAAGAAGAGCATAGTCAAACAAGATTGAAAAGTGAAATCTAAGATGTCTATCATGAACAGAAAATATATCAACAGATCATTCAACTTAAGCTTCAGAAAAAACTTTTTTTCAAAGTACCTCGAAAGAAAAAGCAGTACAACCACGAAAAGGTATTTATTGAAAATTTCCAATCAAAACCATCTCATTTTCTTTTAAAACAGAAAAGCAGATAGTGTAGATAGAAATCAGATGATGCACTTTTTTGGACTTCAGCATCAATTTTGACACTGTCTTGCAACACATTCTCCTAAAGCAACCTAGAGCTCAGTGCATTAAAGACAAAACTACTATAGTGTAAGGTAGCACACCTAGTTTAAACAAACAAACAAAAAGGACAAACACATACCAGAAAGTTATACATCAGTAGCTTACTATGAAACTGGAAAGACATACTAAATATAGTTATGCCAGTCCTGATGATTTTCATTGTTTTAAGCAGTTCCTTGGGCAATGGAATAGAAGAATAGCTAAAGTACTCATAATAACTGTAGAGGACAAGATGAGAAATTAGGATGATCAGAGGAGACCATTGTGTGTGAAAGACACATTCACACATACATAAATCTTATTAAAAATACTGGATCTATTGCAGTAAGAACACCACAAATTTCAGTGCTAGAAAAACTTTACAAACCCAGATTAAAAATCAACTAGCCAGATGATCACTTCAGAAAAAGAAGGTGAAGATCACAAGCTGAACATCAATCATCATGATGTTGCTTAAAAAGAACAAATTTCACAGTGGAAGTAACGGGACTGTAACCTATGAACCTAAAGTCACATTACTCAGCATTAATCATGCCTCAGCTGATCGTTCCATCCAGTTTTAGAAATGTTTTTTCAATTAAAATACTAACAAACTGAAGAGACTCCAAAGGAGAACTGAAAGAACAAATTAAAGAAAGAAAACATGCTGTAAAAGGCTGAAGTTACTTGGATGCTTATTTTCAAAACAAAAATATCGACAGGAGACATTTAATGGTCTTCAAATAAATATGAAAATGCTATTAAGGGAAATAAAGTCTGTTCAACATCTGAAGCAGAGACAGGAACTAATGGCTTTAAGTGGCAGAAGTACAGGTTTTTAGCCATTATTATTCCTATCATTAGGATGTGTTTTGTGGTGCACCAAATTTACAAAGAAATATGGTGGATTTGCACTTCAGTTACTAAGGTTTTAGGAGTATCTGACAGAAGTGATTGAAGAGCAAACAATTGTTTTTCCTTTCCCCTTACTTTCTCTATTTTAATTCACCACTGAAACAATAGTCTAAAACTCCCAAAATAACGTAACACATGCTTATGCAAAGACTGATTTAAAATTCAAACAAGTATTTCTGCTGTACCATAAAAGTTCAAAAATAATTCCTGTACTTGAGAAGAACTCCTTTCTTAAGTTCATTTTTTTCTTCTTCAATAACCAAGCCTCTCACTGTTAAGGCAGGTGATAAACAGCTGCATACTCAACTCTTTGTTTTGCTAAAACTATACACTCTTGCTTCTTTTATTAGTGACACTGTACTACTTGACCCTTCATCTTCTCTGCCTTGAATATGAACACATGGTTACATATGAAGAGCATTTAGACTACTATGGATATAAAGGTACTTATGTAGAGATACAAGTACTTTTACACAAATGATGCATCTGCAACTCAAGGGCCGAACTACTTTCTCTACACAGTTCTCTAAATAGGTGTGTAGTAAAAAAAAAATAAGAGGTAGGTCGGCCAATGCATATTACCACAATTATGAAGAAAAAAGTAAACCAGGAGACACAGAAAGAGTTGTCTGTTTTAAGTTAGCATCCATACAAATGAAACAACTGCTGCTTCTATTCTTTCAAGTCAGAGTAGCTTTGGACTAAACCAACTTGTAAGTAACTTCACCCTAAAATAAACAAGTATTTACAGCCTCTGTACATCTTTAGCCCAAAAAGCAATAAATCTGTGTCACACACTTGGAACATTCAACCAGAAGAGCCAGTTACTAACCCAGGGCATACATTAAAATTTAGCGACTCGGAGACACCACAAGGAAATCGAAGTATTATTCTCTTAGCTGATAACTCAAGGAAGTGATGTAGTCTTAAAAGCGCTCAGGAAAGAAAATCCTTTGAAAGGGTACATTTTTATTTGCCTCAGGAAACATGCATTGAAAAGACGAATAATTACCTTTCAGGTTCAAAGACACTGCTATCTGCTACCATGGCCTTTAACACATCAGCATTTGCTGCAATGAGAATAAATAGAACTCTTCAAAAGTGTACAGCTCTAACTTTAGAAAAAACAAACAGCAAAATTAAAAGTCCTCAAAGAAATTTAATCTAAAGGAAAGATGACTACATTATGTATATCTGCAAAAGGCACAAGAGAACATTATGAAAAAAAAATGTTAATACAGTTCTGTGGTATTTCCTTAACATGAGACACTAAAATTACAGTTCGTATTGCACACAAAGCTCTGCCCCAGTACAAGACATGTAACATAGCCATCTGCACAACACTCCCAAACAAGACGTCTGAAAATTTTACAACATCCATTTCACCACAGAGTATCATCACCTCACACGTATAAAGCAACGTCAGATGAAAAACAATGGTTTAAGTGAGCCTTAGAAAATGCAAATTAATTGTCAGCCAGGAATACCAATTGCTCACATATTCTAAAAAAAAAAAAAAAACACATAGGTACCTAATCCCAACCTTGGGGAAAATTACACAAAATCGAAGACCTAACAGTTAAGGGGGGGGGGGAAAAAAAAAAAAAAAAAAAAAAAAAAAAACACAAAAAGACCCCACAAACAAACCCCAAAATACAACTTTTCCAGGACTGGTCTTCATTCAAAAGTAACTCAGAGCCAGCTCAATGCTTATGATTTCTACAAATGTAAAATTAAAGGGCTAAAGGTTCTTATATTATAAAAACATACAGTCTTATAAATGTTTCTTCTACAGGGCAAATATGTTCTGAACTAACCAAGCATTCCATGGGCTGCTTAACTGTGATTTTTACAGTCATATCTTCTTTACCCTCTACTTTGCACACACGGTACATGAAGACATTGTGCCTAAAACTCAATGTTGGTGCTAGTCTACCCTGTTGTCTCAGTTATGCACAAACCTTTCATCAGATAACAGCTGCATGAATCGTTTCAAGACAAAAAATTTAATCTGGTCAAAAGATAAAAATTTCACATACTTTAAATACTGTCATTCTGAAAGCAACCTTGAGCTTTTACTTCACAAACAAAAACATGAACAACAAAAAAAAAAAAAAAACGAACACCAGAGTAGTTAAAATATCAAGAAACACATGAACCAAACTTATAACACAAAATAATTTTCAGGTAAGTGAAAAACTTCCCTATTTTGTTTGAAGTTACTGCCTTCTGCAGGCAATCTCAAAGAGTTATGTACAAGATGGTTATTAAATGAACACACATGAACAGATATTCTGAAGTACGGGATGAAAATACATATTTGTTATAGAACATCATCACAAAGGCTCGTAACTTCAGTATCACAATACTATACCTTCATTTTTCATTATGTAGTTAACAATTTGTCCCACAGTGTCGCTATTCTCATGTATAGTTTCATTCATTTCTGTGCAAGGAAATAAATATGTTGTCAATATCTTGGCCTTCCAATCAAGAATCGAGTTATTTTAAAACAAAGCAAAAGAAAAAAAAACAAAAAAAAACCACACACACAACAAGAAAACAAGACAAAAAAAAACACACACCAGAAGTTACATTAAAAAAAGAAAAGATCTATTGTCACTTCAGAGGAAAAACTTACACAATACTTTTAATAGTCCTTATTCAGGGAAAAATACAAACAAATTCATGGAATCTCCACATCAGCTCTAATATATTATTCTAAGACTTGAAGAAACACAGTATTTTCAGAAGCATACGTTAAAATTCCTTCTCTAGCTGCTAAGGAGTAGACAAGCAAGAGAGCAATATTTCTAATCTTAACAATAGAGAAGGAAAACAAACAAAATCATTAAACTGTTTCAAGTCACTATTTTAAAATAGGTATTATTGGCTTCTAGTATAAGAGGGATTCAATTTAACCTTTTTACCACATCTCCAAGGACATACCATTTGATTGTTTTTTTAATTAAAATAAAAATATTTCATATCACTACAGAAGCAAGGGAATTAAGAAAGAAACCTTATGACTATACTTAATATTTTTGGAATCGATTGCACCCATTAACAATACTGGAAGCTTCCCCTGAATAGCCTTGGAAGGCAGAGAAAGATCTGAGAGAGAAACAGAACAATGAAGTGGCACAGCTCTGCCTTTTCCTAATAATTGTTATGACTAGTTTTTAAAAAAAAAAAAAAAAAAACAACTAACCAAACACAGGATTGAGACAAGCTTGATAGGTAAGACCCTAAATTTGTCTCTTCATAGTAAATCAGGACTTTCCCATCTCTGTATCCACACTTCAGCGTCATCCTAATACCTGCAACTTTGCAATCCAACTTAGACACAGCTACTTCCCCAAACTAAGACCTAAAAGTTGTGCCCCCTTCATTACCACTCACCTTGCTGTTACCACTCAGGTAAGCTAACAGATCAGATAGTCCCACCCACTGCATACGTGCCCCGGGCAGTAACTGCTTCACAACATATTGACACATCACTACTGCACCACATGGCTCCACCCTTACCACAGAGCCCCTGTAATTTGCATTTATTATGAATCTACTGACAGTAATTAATTGGGAGAAAGGAAGGGGCCCAAAGTATTTATAAGTGACATGGCCCTAGTATTTACTTAGCCAAATGCTATACTGGGTTACTATAGCCCTTCCCAAGGAATAACACTTTTCTTGGTTATTTTTTGGGGTTTTGTTTTGGTTTTTTTTTGTTTGTTTTGTTTTGGTTTTTTTTCAAATAAGAATAGGTGGGAATAAGAAATCACAAAGATAGGAGAACAAACATTAGAACTAAAAAAAAGGTGTCTAAGAAAAGTTATAAGCAGCACACACTACATAAAATAGAACATAGACAGTCCAAAGGCTCAGTTCTATAATGAGAAGGGAGATGAAAATGACAGCACAACAGGAACAAATTAAGATTGCTAAACATAAAACTAAGATTTTAGGCTTTCAACAGCAGCTTTTTGTCACTCCTCAAACAGAATTATGTACAATAATACTTTGTTGCTAACAGCATGTGGAATGTAGAAAAGTAATCTGGTGACTCCAACTGCTGTGCATAGTTGCAAACAAATATACTGGATATTTTGATCCTTCTGTAAACTCTTAATTGATGTTAGAGGACGGGCATTGGAAATTGAAACACTCCTAGTTTTGACTGGCAAAGATCAAAACCCAACAGACATGTAATGGTACAAAAATATTTTCTTAATATTGTTTTCATGTCAAATATAGACAGAGAAATGACAGAATTCTCACAATAAATTATTCTATAGTAGTTGCAATGTACAGAAACAGGAAGTTATTAGACTCAATGATTACCTATTTTTTCATCAAGTTTTTCTTCCTCTACTTCTTCAGCCTCTGTTGTACAACGATAGCCTTTTTTCTTAAGGACATGACAGATGAGGATCCCCAAGAGACCCATAATGAAGAAAACGGGAACCAATGCAAAGGCAACATACTCTAGGTGTTCAGCCTTGCCATCATTGCCATCGGTTTTAGTTGTCAAAGTAGTTGTCTGTAAGCCATAGCTTGACAAAACCTGGAAATACTCTCCATTATCTACATGAACAAAGAAATGCAGTTATTACTATACACTGTAAATCACTTCAAAGCATTTAGAAAATTACAAGCATAACCAGATCCCCATTGCATCAACATGATGTACCTTCTGTGATGACTTAAATGGGCAACACACTACTGGCTAAGAACTCACACCCCTAAAATATTACCTCTTCATAAAATGACTGCAAAGCATCTGACATACAAAAAAACCCACATGATATTTCAATATAACAGTGAAGAGCAAACAGTATTCTAGCCTGATAGACTTGTAAACTCAACAAAAGGGCTCACATATTTCACACAAGAGTAACACTACCATTGTTCCTTGTTCCCATCAGTGAGGAAAACACCATACCATTCCTTTGGTTCCAAGTTCATGAAAATGGCTAAAAAAAAAGTGGATCCTTCGCTAACATGACAGTTAAGTACATAATTTAATGCTGACCCTTGCAAAGAAAAAGTACCACGTGTGATAGAAATAGCCTTCACTTTTTTTTTAACAGTCGGATTCCACAGCACAAAAGAACAAACATTCACCCTCTACTCATCAGCATAAAGTAAACTCATTCTTTGCTTGTTTAAGATTTAGAAACCATTTTCTATTTAAACTTGAAACAGGATGGGAAAGAAGCTTTTCTTTTTGTTTGCAAAGAGTTTTAAGTTGCAGCATAGGCACACACTAACTCTACACCCATAATTAAGCATTTTTTTTCAATTAATCTCAGAATTTAACAGATATATATTCCATGTTATAGACTGGGCTTTTGAACTACGGAAAGTATGGAATATTTAAATTAGAAGGGACCTCTCAAATTCTTAAGGCCAAATGTTGCTAAAAGCAGCTCTGATTAGATCAGGCTGCTCAAGTAAGCTCCATCTGAAGGATGGAAATTCCACAAGATTTCCAGGAAACCTGTTCTAATATTTGCCCATTTTTATGGCCAATATACACAGGTAAATGAAAATTTCAGTACCTTCTCACAGATCAAATATAAAAGTATACAAGTTCAAGCGTTCAGCTAAATCAAAAAATACGTTTTCATACTCAAAATGCCTCCTGAGCCTCTAGAGTTTATACACACTCCTCACCCCACATAATTTAGATGTAAATATTACTCTTCCAACACGCAAGAATATTCCTGCATTTCTATTCACTGTTCTCCACCTCACATGAAAACAATTTTTTGGAATAGGAAAGAATGACAACAAAAAAGATCAATAAAAAAAATCTAACACTATTTCAAGATATTTTCCATCTAGTTGTATTAAAATGGACAAGGCAATTCACAACTGTTCCATTACTCAAACTGGTTGAAGGAGCAGAGAGTCATCAGAAAACCATTTACATGACTGATACTTTCACAAGGGTCTAGATCAATCAAATCCCTCCCTTAAAAAAAAAAAAAGCAACAACAAAAACCCAGAAGCCTCCAGACAATTGTTCCACAAACACCTCTACTACATTGGCTGTGTAACTAAATTGTATTTGAAAAATACCAGTAAGGTGACAGATAGCTAAGAAAGTATTTTTTCTAAACTACAATTAGGTATTTACTTTTGTTTTCTTTATATCAAAACACTAAACTTCTATTTTTAAAGTATTTCTGAATTTTTCAGGACAGTCTTGAATTGTCAGTTCAGTAGCAATACATAAGACTTGCTCAAAGTGAAAAGAAACTGAAACTTCTTTGAATAATACCTGACAAAACCACAATTAGCAAAAATAAAAAAATTATCTAAACTAATTTTCTACACAACAGTAGAAAGGCAGAAACATAGAAAGAAATGCAAACAAACTGAATAGATCACGAGGGTAAATATTGAAACAAAATCTCAGGATGTTTGCTTTGGACAAAGCCGGATGGTCTAGCCTGTTCCCAAAACCAAAAGAGAAAGTTACTCACTTTTAAGAGAGACCAGCAATCCTACAGATAACTGTATGCAGAATTTATTAGATAAGTAACCTTTAGAAGCTTTAACTTATGCCCAGGAAGGACAATTGAACAATATGTATAATTTAACACTACAAGGAAACAAAAGACAGGAAAGGGTAATGGATACAATATAATGGGGAAAGCTGATCTTACATACAGTTTATTTGCTTTCTGAAGATTTGTAATTCACATTTTAATACAAAATAAAAGTTATAGGTTTGGGCTGGGGTTTTTTTGTTAATTTTTAATAACTCATCAGGTAGCAACAGCTACAAAGTCCCCCACTTAATCAAATAAAGTAGCTTCATTTACTTCCCAGGCAGGAGGAAAGCCACCACACCAGAGAAGTATTATTTTGATGACTACATCATCTCAGAATCTTAGAAATCCAACATAAATGGTATATATCACAAACTGAGAAGGGTATGAATAAATAAGCATTCTGTGATTAAATATAAGACAAAAGCAGACAGATGCTTTGGATTTTGCTGCACTTCATCTATTTAAAGAATTAATGGGAAAGACCTACTCTACTATTTCTAAGACATCAATAGCCACTTACTAGTCAAGCTAATGGGTAGAAGGGCCATTAAGGGTAATTAATCAGACTTCACTTTTTAGGTTTTCTATCTCTCTTTGTGGCAAGGCTGACATGCATTGCCCAAACAAGTAACATCTCTTCGTATCTTCTCCATAACCATGGTAGGTAACTCCCACTTCAAACCTAAAGAGCAAGTGGGCCTTAGTGCATGGCTAAAGGCCCGTGCTTCAGACTCCAAGTTGTGGTTCATTAAGATTTCTCCAGATGCAAAGTGGCTTTAAGAGGTCCCTTCCCCTTCAGTCCTCTGCTACCCCACTGGCTGTGCTCCTGACAGACTACAACCTAAAAATCAATTTAAACTAGATTACTAAAATGACCTGGGTTTATGGAAAAATGCCTCCAAAAGTCTTCAGTTTTTAAGCAGTCATTTTACTTGAATCAGTATAACCTGTGGTTTGGCGAACTGCTCTATCAAGACAATCAAGAGACTGAGTAAAGTGAAGCGGAGGAATAAGCAACCATGAGCAAGGATAGATGAATACATCTAGAACAAGCTTTCCTAAAGTAGCTGTAGTAATATGGAATCATAATCTCAGAGTATGCTCCAAAAATAAGGACAGGAGGATTAATTACATGTAAAAAAATTATAATATCCACATAATTATTTCTAAATCATCAACTTGAAACCCCATCAGCTTGACATAGCCACTGAAAAACATATATATAATTTAAAATACAAAGTTGGGTACGAAGTTGCATACAATCCTTCTGCAAACAGAAGGAAACTATTATACAAAGTGTTTGGGATCCGTTTTCCCACTTCCTATTAAACCTTCACAGGAAGCAAGAGAAAAACAAAAAATCTATATAAGAGTGAGTCCATCTCAAGTTCACAAGCAACTCTAGCAACAGAGCTACACTGCATTTTCAGAAGGACAGACCGTTGCTGAGAAATCACTAAGTACCATCCGACCTTCCAAAAAAAGCAAACCATAAGAAACTACTCAGGTTGATATTTCCAGCCTACCTAATATATATCACCTGTAAATGCTTTCATGGTAAGAACCATGGTTTGAGTTTCTTTTTCTACCTACATAATCTGTTTTCTGATTTAGTTTAGCACTTCTGCTTTTAGACTGCCACCTGAAATACCAATGAGAAAACCTCATCAGCTACAATCTAATATGCAGACAAAAGGTGATGACAATCTACACAAATTCTCAAAGGATAGATACAGCCTATACAAGTTAAAACAAAACAAAACTTTATAAATGCCAGAACTGGCACTTTTTTTCCTAATAGAAGGATGCTGAAAAATTCGTAATATATCAAGCGAATACTCTGTAGCATAGATTAGTCCACTAATCGGATTAAGATTTAAAGAGCTTTTGAACTAGGCAGGAAAACATACTTAAAGTATATTTTTCCATTTAAAAATATTTTAACAAACATAGATACTCCAGTATACTGGCCTACATAGATAAGCCTGTGTGATTTTTCTTCAGTTGTCCTTAGATACCTAAAAATCTGATTCTCCCATTAAAATTCAACAAGATACAAACAACTTTGCCTATTACTGGTAAAACATCAAATCAATAATATTTCTATATAAATATGTAGTTTACACAAAGTCCATAAACTTCTTGATACCATTCATTTTATGTTCAGTGATGTAAAAATTCACCAAAAAGCAAAGCAAAAATATCCCAGAAGAAATTCATTAGCTGGATCAAATACTTGGTGATGTGCAACCCTGTGAGCAGAGCAAAGTACTTAGCTTTCATTATCAAACACCCCACATATATCAAGCAGTCTGCCCTCAAAAACCTCAGCAGTTATGACATAATTGAAAACCAAGGCCTGCCCAGCTAACGAGCAATACATTTTATGTCCCAAGTCATAGCTACATCATTATTTATGTTCCCTATTCCTCTTCCCCAGGGGCATATTCTGCTTATTAACAGACTGTTGATACTCTACCTCATTCTCACGATGTTGCTTCACAATGGTTTTTAATGACAAGTTCAGGCCATAGCAATCTTCCTTGACTCAAGTCAATTCATATGCTTTAGTTTTTTTGCTGTCCGAGCATTTTTATGTACCTGTCATTGTATACAAGTCTACACATCAAAATTACTTGAAGATGTGATCTAAATAAAAAGATTTAGGAGCAATAATCAACATATTTAAAGCGATGCTTAAGCTGTAGATCATATAGATCCCATTACGCTACTCATATCCCATGTACTCATTTGCTTAAAAATAAATATATATTAGGTATTGAACTTGAATATTGTCTGCCCTTACTTAATCTTTACCTAAAAAGTAAAATATAAGGACAGGCAAATCTCAGACAAGTATTTTACACTGGTTCTAATCATTACTACTCTAACACAAAGATAGTGTTCTTCCATCTCAGCAATGACTCAAGAAAATTTTACAGCACCTTTAAGAAACAACACAGAAGGAAAAAAGTCAGCACATTAATGAAAAAAAATCATCCTTCATTAAAGTGCAATTGT